TGGGGCGAGTTTTCTGGCCCAATCACTGAGGATGGTGAGGGTAAAACTGTCGTAATCACGGATCACTTTAATTTCGACACTCAATCGAAATGGCCTCATGAACACAATAATAATCATCACATACCTTACAAAAACAAAGTTTATTAATACTTAACTCACAGGTTTTTCTTTTCATACTTTGAAGCCACTGCATAATTATCTCAAAACCAACATTCATAGAAGAACATTGAAAAACAATATGATAAGTAGCCAGAAAATAATTACAGATTTTTTCATACTTTGAAGCCGCTGCAAATGATCTCAGTAGTAATGTCCATACAAAAGTACTACAAATTAAAAAGAAACCATCCAATAACAACAGGAAGTTATGAGCATAAACTTTTAACTGTTTTTTTTTATTTCAGAGCCACTGCATAATGACCTCAATACCAATGTCAGTACAAGAGTCTTACATATAAAATGTTATGCAACAAAGAAAAAAACTTCGTGTGTGATTGACAAAAAAGACTTCAACTGCACCAAGAAAGAGTTTCAAGCTTAAATTAATGAGAAGGACTGACATGTCACAGATTTGAAAGGTCAAGTTGAATCGATTATGTAATTTAATTTCTGTGAGGTTAAGTTCTAAATATATATCGAAGTCACTCTGATTGTCTCTCAGTCTCCATTACAATGTGTTCCCCCAACATCAGCACTGATACTGATTCACTTATAAACCAAACTGCCGCATGTGCACATGTAATCACTTAGCATGACTGTTGACATTTGCTTTGCTTTTTACCTCAAAAAAATCTTCTTCATTTTTAGGCAAGTTATATTGACAAGAGAGTATTAGGTCTTTTACCTGTGAGTTACTATTGGAATAGTTGATCTTTTGGAAATAAGAAAAATAATTTGGAATGTGTTACTTTAACAGTGGCTTCATGAATATCGCAGGAAAAAAAGTGTCTTTGTACAGATGATACACTTCACAAACCATAAGTTATGGTTTACAATTAAGACAGGAGATCTGTTTTATCAAAACTATTTAAAGTACATCATTTCAAAATAAGGAAAAGGATTTGGAATGTGCTGTTATTACAACTTACAGTGGTTTCATAAAAACTGCAGGAAGAAATTAATTCTTAAAAATTAAAAATCCCGTTAAAGATTGCAACAAGAATGCACCATGACCTGTTTACAAAACATATTTTGGCCTATTTACAAAGGATTATTTACAATGGTGAGAGGAAATGTTTCATCAAAAGAATTTTTCTTTCTGAATATAGAGCACTCAATATTATATATAATTTTTAGAAAAATCATACTTAAGATACTTTTATAAATGAACTTATTAAAGAACAATTTGTTTGAAAATAGAGCAGCAGCATGTTCTTACTATTGGCAATTCTTGCCGCAATTTTTTCACAAGAATCTAAAACACAAATGACCAATATTCAAAAATAGTAGACAGATTTTCATTCATTCTGAAATGCAAAAAAGAAAATAAACCAAGATAAGAACATCTGCACCACTTCATATGACAGAATTATTGACAGTATGTTTTATTGCTAGATTGTGGTAATCAAAAACACTGAAAATTAAATTAGCTATAAGCCTTGAATTTCAGCTAATTAAGATATAATATTGACTGCAATAATATGAAGTGTTAGAGCCACAATTAATAACTTGCATTTCAAATTAGTTAAGATTACTGTTTCTTACCGTTATTTAGGCATGAAGGCTTTGCTGGCGAATTGCAGCAATGAGTCCAGCAACTCTTTTTTCATGAGCTTTGTTCTCATCTGTTTTCCTCCACCCTAAAATCAAAATACAAAACATTGTTTCCTTCATCTACATTTTGGCTTATGCCTTCGGCCCTGAAGAGTGAATAGCATCTAATTTCTCTTTAGAATATCACAAGGATAAAGGAAATGATCACTATGTAAAGAAACTCAAGGTTGTTAAACAAATTCACCTGTCAGCACCTTAGGAAATGTAAAGACAACACTTTGGAGTATTTATATTTATTGTTTTTTTAGAGGGCACGGTAACTAATCTTGCAATCTGATTGGTTCTTTACCTGGTCAGTATTTTCGTATCTCTGCCCACGGGCCACGGTAACGCTTTCGTGAGTCGCCGAGTACATCCCAACTTTCGTTGTCATTTTTCATAAATATACCTCGTTTTCCGGCTGGGCAGTATTTTTAAGCAAACACGTCGGTCACTACCTCAAGCCGATAAATAACTTATGAATCCTCCCTTTTCTCTCTATCAAATCACTTTGGTTGACAGAAAAATATTGGTTTCAGAATGAATTTGTATAAACAATAGTGTCATTACGTTGGTTGACAAGCGGCCTAAAACCGTCTGCAATTAATTTTAATCGTTCACAAAAAGTACCCAGAAAGTTGAAACGTGAGGTATTTGGTTACAGTTAAACTGAACGATGGAACTTTCATTCATTTAATATCTGAATTTTCTCGAGCAATTTGTTCATAGTAAAAAAAAAAAAAGCGAGCGAAGTTTTAATTTAAGTTCTACAACAAATATACGCTCCTGGATAGTCTTTCCAATTCCGTTCAATTTGGACATTTGTACCTTAAATTGCACAACAGAAATTGAAGGAATTGAGAAAAGGCTGCATTAAATTCCCTTGTGTCTCGTTGGAGTGTGCCGTTCGAATTTAGTTTTTGTGAAGGAAAGATCCGAGTTAAACACGCCATTACAGCAAACAAACAAGCAAACTCCCACAACTTCAAAATAAATTGAATTTACTCACAATTACTTTCCTCGCCGTTTACTTAATGAACAGAGGTAAATCTTCGTACATGAATGAATGGTCGATGAGAGTAAATAATACTTTCCGTTAGATCATTAACTGATTTTTAAGAAAACATTGTCATGACAGTCGTTGCCAAACTGGTTCTGTTGGTTTTCAAATGTTCCTACGATTTTTTTTGCACGCTCTCTCTCTGTAAAAATAATGTTTCAAAGTTTGTTTGGAAGCCTTTTAAATCACTTTTATCGTTACGGAAATGAAAATGTTTCGCTGAGGCATCTCTCTTAAATTTGCATCACCTCTATTTTAACTACCATTTACTCACTCAAAAATTGTTCAGTTTATGGAAGATCTTGCCGTATTTACGGCCATAAGCCATTCGGGTTCTTTCGGAAAGAATTTCGTCAAGTTTAAAAACAATAAATACGTTATTTACCGGCTAAGGGTCGGTCCGTACATGGTGAAAAACTGTGATCTCGGTCTTGAAAATGCTGCCCTCGGCCTACGGCCTCGGGCAGTATTTTCAAGACCTCGGTCAAAGTTTTTCACCATACGGACCTCCCAGCCGGCAAATAACATATATATATACAGAATGATGTTAGGGTGTAAAGGGTTAAGAATCAAGGCTCAGTGAACCAGTCCCAATAACACTAAACTGAGAAAAAGGAGGAGAAACAACTGAATACTTACCTTCCACTTCTGAAAGGTGTCTCAAATCTGAACACAGCAAGTAAAGACAATTTTCAATGTTTTTTCCTTTGTCACTATATTGGTAAAAGGAAAACAGAAAATCAAGCAAATCTGCCTCAAGCTAAATACAACCTTTAGTTAAGCAGAACCACTACAGTCTCTGAAAAACCCAAATAAATAACAAGGACAAACAATGGAACTTCTCGATCTGTAAATCAAACATTATTCAATCCATTGCTCACATTTTTTATTATTAACAAAAATAGTATGAAATAAAAATGAATCCAGAGGAACTAATTAAGCAATATATGATAGATAGATCAGTTATCCATATCAAAGGCAATTGGTAAACATATATAGGCACCTGTGCAGAGTTTTTGGATCATGGATTACAATGTAAGACTACATTTTAGGTCATAATGAACATGTTTATTTTGTTTCTAAAATAAGTCTTTATTACTTACAGGGCAAGAAGGTCATCTTTTCTTTTCATCACTTTGGAATGGAAGTTATCCAATATAATCCAGCCTTGGTTTAAGCTTTCAAACTCTTCTTTGTGGTCTACAGACAAAAAAGTAAACAAATACATTGTATAAGCTGTGTAAGTTAAGCATGGCTTATAACACCTGAAATAAGTGTAAAAACTTGCAGTATCTCTAGTTTGGGGATTAGCTGTTTTTTAATATTTTTAACCCTTTCACTCCTGAGAATGATCAAGACAGAATTTATCCTTACAATATCAAAACAATAGCATTAATCCATTCAATACCAATTTTACTGATCTAATATCATAAGAATTGTACTGCAGACAGTAAAGAGAATTACCAATAAGATCCTGGAGTTAAAGATTTATAGCTCATAAGTGGGGAAAAGAACTTAACATAAGTTTTTTTGAAATTCCAAGGTATTTCACTTTATCATTTTGGAAATGGATCACCCACCTGATGACATAGCTCTCTGCATTTCAAGTTTTACTTTTGAGCGGACTTCTTCCGAAGATAATAATTCATCTTGAACAAGCTTCAGTTCCTCTTCAATATAACTGGCCAACTCTGAATGAAGCTGGCTTCCACTTGAGGCTGAACAAAAAAGTTAACATCAATAATCAACAAAAATAGATGTAATTCAGATTAAAAAATTAAAAGTTATGATTTTTATTTAGTGCTTTTAGCTCACGGTTCCAAGGAGTCTTACAATAAAACTGTTTGATTGAAAATAAATCAGATCAAACAGGAGAAAAGTATTCAAATTTAAGCCCCTTTCCATTTGGAATGGGAGGCTGGAAATCAAAACAGAACTTACATGAATTTTCATTTCTCTTGGGAATGCACTTCTCTTTTATTGCAACTTCATCTTCTTTTTATGAAAACTGTTTCTCTGTAAACAGTTTCTGAAGACAACACAGACAAGGAGTTCAGTGCTTCTTCATCATGTACAACAAGATGTAATACCTCAGGCTGTTCATCAATTTGAAACCTGACAGTTTTATGAAGGTTCCTTTTACTCTGCACCTCTTTTTTTTTCTTCACTCTCTAATGGCAGACCCTGGCTAGCAGGTGGGTGTGTTTTGGGGTGAAACAGGGCTAAGATGTGCATGATGAGGTGAAGACTGCCTCCGGACCTTTCCTGACCCCACTTTGGTATTGCTGCCAGATGAGGGATCCACCATAGGTTCAGCATTTGGGAAGATGCCACCTTGTTGTTCAATAGTTTCTTTATCTTCCCCAACAGCAATTTTTGTACCACTTGAGCAGCCAACTTTATTGCTTTTATCTTTCTTTTTGTCTTCTTCAGTCGCAATGTCTGTATCACTTGAGCAGCCACGTTTCCTGTGCCTTCTTTTTTTCAAAGATTTATACTTGGCTGTCTTTCCCTCAGCTTTTCTTCTTGCTTGTTCCTCCCTGACCTCCTGCATTATCTCTTCCCATATCTCTTCATCTGTGGGACTGTAAAGGTAATTGAAAAGAGTTAATGGAATTTCACAATACAATTACTTTTAGACAAAACAAATAATAATTGCATGAATAAAAACCATTGAGCAGGTAAACTTTAGATTTTAGTTGACCCTTGTGATTATGCAGCAAAAATGATAATATCTCACTTTGAAAGTTTATTGATCAAGTTCATGGATCTAAAATAACATCATGATAGTAACTGACTTATAAATGCCAAACATAGGCTAGATGATCATTACAATAACTAGCTATGGAAATTACTGAAGAATATTCACTGAATGACTCCATCATCTTCCTGGATAATCCATGACAATTCAAACTCAATTTTGCCACAAACAACTTTCTTGATTGCTTGCTTAAGGGTGACAGTAACGTCCACTTTTCCAGGCATCTCTGTAATATAATTGCTGATATCAATACAGCCAGTGGCCAGAAGCTGTTGACAACCACTGGGAGACACCTAATGATTTCAAAGAAGCAAGAGGAAGATGAACAGTGTTCAGATTTACTCCAAACTGTGTGGAGTGAAAATAATATTAAAGAGCAACTACATGCTTGCATAATATTGAAAAGGGAAAAGCTTACATTACAGATGTAAATATTCCACTGCTTTTCTTGATATTCTGTCATTTCATCTTCTGGGTTCTACAAATACAAATAAATATTGTTTTAAAACAAAGAAACAAACTTGATAACAACAATATTAGGGACCTTGGACAAATCATGAGAATGATGGAAACAAATATGTGGCAAAACAAAAGACCAAATGAGCAGAACAATAGCTAAGCACTAGTGTTTAGAACTTTTTTTATGTTGAAGCTGTCCTTGGCCAAACAACAACGTGAAGTAACCAAATTTGGCATGGTCTGTGGTCTGTGTACAGGAACACTGACAGAAAATTATTTCACTTTCAATATGGAACTCAATGTGAATCACACACATTATGCAGAGGTTGAGATGCGGCACTGTTAGAGACAGCAAAAACATTCATGCCGCCATACAGGAAATTCCAAACAAAATATAGATTTATTTTTTAATCAGTTTGTCTTCCTTGGCATCACTCTCCTGACTGGTTAAGGTCCCTATTAATTTTGCCAGTGCAGTGTCTTTTAACCTCTAGGGAGCAATATTGTGAAATAAAGTTCATATCATGGTTTTGGCAATATAAATTTAATCATCTGTCCTCAAACGTTTCATAGATTCAATAGCATTTCATAATTTTTTTTCTCTTCAGCTGTTGTACTTTGAACTTTTACAATGAAAGTTATATTAGATTTAACATTAATAAATTAGCATAATATTACTTAGTAAATCCAATGCAAGAGGCTAAGCCATATTGAAAACCTTGTGGCTTCAAAAAGTCTTCACAACGAAAGATGGACTGTTTTTATTTCAAAATTTCTTAAAACGTAACGCAAATTGAATCGGAGGAAGGAGCAAGCCTAAGAAAAAAGCAAGGAAGGCTTCAGTAAGTGGGTATAACGTGTTTACGAAGACGATGGTTTCAAAACGTTGGCCAAGATTTCCGCACTTCCCCGTAGTTCATTATGCATAGAGCTCTTGGATAAAGAAAGCTATAACGAAAGCAAGCCTTTGGACCACAATTTCGTTTCCGAATGCTGTGGCACTTTACGGAAATCTGTCCCCATATTTGTACCTCATGTTGCCTTTGTTTGAAACTTACCTTGAGGAGAGTAACTTTACTATCTACTGGATCAGGCTCAGGCCAAAAATGGGGGGGGGAACACCACGATAACCATTTTCAACACCTCCAAACCATGCTACAGGCTGAGAGAAAAAGTAATTGCAAGAAATATTTCTTTAACTCAAACTGACGATTAAGACATCAATAGCGTTTAGTGAGCTAAGAGAGAAAGATACGAGATCCAAAGTCTAAGTTGACTACCTTTGTACTGTATTTCACTTTCCTTTTTTTCCAAAAACCGCAAGCTTGTGGGGATTCCTAATTGAGGAACAAAACACGAATGTCAGCATAATGTGAGAAAGTTGCCATAGTTAACCATATTTTTTGTTCAGTGCAGATTCTACCCTTGTATAAGCGATTGGCGTTTTACGATTCAAGGGATGAGATGCACTTAAATCTTTTGTTATTTTGGAATACGACAAAAGACAAAGAAGTACATCGTATCTTCAAGGCGTCCGCCATGACGTCTTTATGCCAAGACTGGTAACTAGTAAAACTTACCCCTCCCTCCCCATCGCTGTTAATGATTGACCGTTATCAAAAAACTTTCTCTCGCAGCACCGCCGTGGAAAATACCAATTAGCCTAGTATTTGTTTTTCACCGAGTCTTGCAACTTCAAAGAGCAAACAATATTCAGTTTGGGGAATAACCCTTTGCTTCTGTTGCTTAAGTCTCACGCGGTATTCAACAGTGAAATCGAACTCAACCAAATTCTAAAACGCATGTTTTTTTCCTCAATTCAATTAATCATAATGAAGTTTATATTGTTTCCGAAATTGTATGCTTCGTCAGAGTTTAACTTTTGATCATTTTCTAATCTGAAAAGTAAAAAATAATTTGACTCTGTGAGACAAGCAGCTTCGAAGACTAAACTCTTAATAGAAAAGAGAGAAAGAAAATACTTTATCGTGTCGCTTACCACCTTTTCTTGCGTAATTCAACATTCAGTAGCGAAACAGATGCTGTGATCAAAAACTTATCAGCTCTTGTTTTTTCCCGACGGAACGGTATGAGAACACAAGCCATTAATGCTTCTCACAAAATCTCTCAGATGAACTCCAAGGATCTCTGCTTCGTTCGTTGTGATGTCATGTTGCCATGAAAATAATTACTTCGAATGCATATTGCGCGCGCTCAGTGCACTACATTGACTGAGGCCGGTTGGAGTAACTTGAAATTTCTCCATAACTGTTGAAGTAGAAGTAGCTAAATGAGGAAAATAGTTCCATTTGGGAAAAAAAAGTGTCCGCCTCTTTACATTTCCTCACTCGTTTACCTTTTTTCCTACATTATGGCTTTAAAGTCGATTCATAACGATTTAGGTAATTATAGTTTCTGTGTTTTCTTCCTATTTATTTATAAAGGAAACATTTAACAGTCAGCTGATACAAGCCTGACACTTTGGTTGATAAAAGGCGCGCATTTGTGCCCCCTCCCCCCTCCGATCTGACCCTCTCTTTTGAACAAACCAAATTCTTACAGTGTACGGAGAGATGTGAGGTGTGATAACAATACTGAAAAAGCTACATTCCTAGCCATAATAGCTTAAACTTTTTCCCCTTCCCACCTTAGACCACCCTAAAAATACAATTAAAGACAGAATCACAAACTGGACAACGAGAGGTAGGTTGGTGTTTTGATAAAGCTTCATTAGGGTTTCAAGTTGACTATTAACCTACGCTCAAGGAGGACTGGAGTGAAATCTGTTGTCATTGTACTGGACAAGAACTTTTGATATCCTATGCTTGTCTGCTGTCAAGAAGTTACATCCATGGGAGGTTCAACAAGCTCGAGCGACACCAAAATTGTTTTTTCTTTATCTAAGGGCGTAAAATGAACCTTTCAGATGAGCTGCGAACGTTCCTGTGATTGTAATTCTCCCTGAGTGCTCTATTGTAGTAATAATCACTAAGTGATATTTTAACAGTAGAGGCACTGAATGAAAACTTGTCAATACGATAGCAATTTTGTTTTACTCCGGTGATACAAGGACGCCCTTACAAATAGCTCTTACTGCTGAGCTCGTAGCTACGCCGCAATTTGGAATAATGAATAAATTGAATAAAATGTGGTTATTGCTATTTAGCTGTTGCTTAATATGATTTTTTTTTTTTGAATAATAAAAAGTGTAATTCTTTGCCATGTCAACCGTTTGGCTTTTTTAATAATCGTCCACCCTTTCAACTGAGTTGTTGTCGATCTGAGCTAGGCCAGTTGACCTTATAAACCGGTCACGACTGGAAAAAATGGCTACAATTCTCATCAAAACCGTAAGAACAAGGTCATGAATCGTTCAAATCTGAAATGCCTAAGAGGGTAACAATCTGAACCGAGGTGAGGGTATGGTGACTAATGGGAATAATGAAACATGAGAAATTGCTTTTTTATTGGCAAATCAACAGCAAAAGGGCGAGAAGATGGACTTTGTAAAAGACTTGAGAAAAGTCGTGTTTCTTTTTTCATTTACATTTATTTACAATTATTACAAGTCAAGGTAAAATAAGGAAATAGCGAAAAAAAATCGCAATGAAGAATAGGCAACTCAATATGTTCACAATTGATCTCGTGTCAATTTGAAAGAAAAAACTAAAGCGATTACGTTACTCCTTTCCCTGGTGAAGTAATGGCGTGACGTTGTACTCAACGAGTCCCAGTCTCCTTGTCTTAGCATTCGGTTAATCATCAGCACTGCTATGGATTGATCGCAAAGAAAAGTGACGCATGCAGCCAGAAAACCACCCAACATAAATCGATCATTGAATCGATGTTAATACAGGTGGTGGAAAAGGGCAATGTTATTTAAAAAAGAAAAAAAAAAAGAAGAAACGAAAGAAAGAGGGAAAAGGAAACAAAAACAACCCAAAATAATAAAAAGAGGAGAAAAAAAGGAGAGGATGAGAAAATTACAAAAAAAAGATTCCAAACCCAAATTACAAAATACCTAAAAACCTGAGTTAAAATTTAAAATACGGATTACCTAAAATGATAAAAGTACCCAAAGATAAATAACCTACCCACCTAAAATCAAACAAAAAAAAGCGGAAAAAAAAGCAGAAAAAGAAAAGAGAAGTACGAACGAAAAAAAGTGTGCAGTGCCAAAGGTGAAGTATTCAGTTACGTGCAGTGATCTTGTAACCGCTTACGTCACTTTCATTACAAATGATTCTATATCAGCGCATCTGATTGGAAGAAAACAAAGCCATTGAATTGAAATACGTAAACAGTGACTTTACTTTAGATCTATCTACCTTCATCTTAGAAATAAAACGTAATCAAAATAAAAAGATAACAGGGTCGTAATGAAAAGAAATCTGGTTAGATCTTTTGTCCGTGACCCTGAACCTAAGATATTACATTCACAAAAGAGGTGTTTATACTCATGAAATAGTCCTAAGCAATTTGAAAAAAGACGAGAAAAAGATAAATATCTTTATCTTTTCTCGTCTTTTTTTTAAATTGCCTAGAACTATAAGATAGTTACTTACGTTAAAAATGAAAATTTTACAACAATAGAAATTATTTGAATTCATAGTAGTTTTTCATAGTAGTCACATGAAAATTTATTTGACAAATAAAGTAATCTCATGATTCAAGGATAATATCTGAATGATTTTCTAAGAGAAAGAATTTTACATTGAAAAATGAAATTGCTCAGAATTTAGAGATTTATAAAGGATTTTTTTGCAAGAGATTATAATCTCTTGTTCTTAGCCATATACAAACATGTTACCATACAAGCCAGACCAGAAATAAGGAAAAAGTTGTGAAATCGAAACTGCAAAATGGAAAGGAAAGTAAAAACAGAATTAGCCATTGTTATTTATAATAAAGTCTCTGAAATCAACATAATCCAAATGATTCGTGGCAAACTTATTATAGAATGGAAAGTAAGATTACAAGAAGAGAACCAAAAGCATTTCAACTGAATTAAAATACATTTCCTACTTTTAATGCAGTTTGTTATTCAGGCCATGTTGGTCAACTTGAGGATAAGATCCAGGACATTCTTTTCCTGATCTTTGTGTCCCCTGGTTTTCTTCCAACCTGCCGCAGAAAACGTAATAAAACATCACTCACCATATGATAACAGACAAATAAAAGATTGCATAAAAAAACCCAGGTGTTGGTAACAGAACACTTGTTTAACATCATACAAAAGAACTTAGTACTATCACATTGAAGAACTAACTTAGAAATTGATTCTCACCTTTGACTTCAAACAGGTATTTAAGGTCCTGACGTAAGAATTTCAAACACTCTTTCCGGTTTTGCTGTCTGGAACTAAAAACAACAGAGACGAAAGATAAGGCTTTAATACGATAAACTTTAAAATGGAAATACAATGCAAGGAATTAAAATGCTTAATGAAAAAAGGAGTGCTTATATGTGTTTAATTTAAAACATTCGTTCTGGTTATTGAATATGTATTACCATAATTTGGCATATTGACTTGTTCCCAACTATCGAGCAAGGTTTAAAACAGCTTAGTAAGGATAAGATGTACTAACAGAGTGAGAAGATCTTGTTTCCTTTCGTCAAGTTCAGAACGGAACTTATTTAGCGCTAACCAGTCAAGTGATAAGCTTTCAAACTCAGCCTCACAATCTAAAAAGGGAAAGAAGGCTGCATTTAAGTTGTGTTTAGTAAGTTATTAATTTGTGATTAGGCACGACGGTATACCCGGATAATTGTTTCCAAACTTGACGTCTTCCTAGGAGAGAAACTGTTTTTCTTTAGCGTTGCGTGAGAGAAACCAAGCACTTTGAACCCCGAAAGATTCCTCTCAACTGACAGGAGAGTTCGGCTGCTATTTGACAAAAGTGAACAGCTGGAAAGGTTCGAAGCTAGGGATTAAGGATAGTGGCTCTCGAAAATCACTGCTCTGCACGTTTGTAGCAAATATGTTAGTTTTTATATATTGACTCGTGCAAAGGTAAAAAATAGGAAACTAACCTTCAGTGTCCATTGCTTCTTTCATCTCTAATTCCAATTTAACCATCACCTTGTGCAATGAAAGCAACTCGTGTTCGATAACCTTAATCTCTGTCTCCACATAAATGGCCAACTCAGGAAACTGATTGCTTACGATGGAAGCTAAAGAAGATTTCAGAAAATACACGTGCTTAAATAATGAAAAGAGAAGGCGAATATATACACATTCTGATGAAGTTGATATTGAACCAATTAAATCTGTTTGGTTAATAGCAATCAAGGTACAAACAACAGTCAAGAATAAAGGTTTACGTGCACGCAGATGGGAATGTTTCTACTGACTCTTTTTCGCCGGTTCGGTGGATAAAGATGCACTGTTTTACAATACTTTCCGCTCATTAGGATCTATTTTGTGGTATGCTTACAGAACAACTTACCAAAGCTGTCTCCACCCTGGCAATCCTCCATGGCAATTACTTCCTCGGTAGGTTGTGCTTGATTGATAGTTGATCTCTCGCTTGCATTTGAACAATCTTTAGCAGTCGAAGCATCAAGGTTTGTTGATCCGATAATTGCAGGAACATTATATTTGTTTGTGGAAGGGAGATCGTCAGGAGAGACCTCCTTATCAGATGGGAATGACTGGACCTTTGAGTCACCGTAATCTTCTCGGTCAACCTGTTCGTCTTTTTCATCGCTGGCAGCCAAGCCTCGTAATGCAGTCTTTACATTTACCTCTTCTACTGTAGCTGTGTTCACCACAAACTGAATATCTTCCAATGAAGAAACAGACCACATGTCAGAAGTATCAGTCGACTTCAAGATTGACGAACTATTTTCCTCATCGGTATCATTGGATGGATTGTGTTCCATTTTGTATTTTTCACCATTCGATTCTTTCCGTTTTGTTCTACGCCTTTGACCACGAATACTGGAGGGCTTGATGCGCATGTCATCAGCATCACTGGATGAGATGTCTCCCATTTTGTATTCCTCATTCATGGATTCTCTCCGTTTTCTTCTACGCCTTTGACGACGAGTACTGGAGGGCGTCTCGCTCATCTCATCAGTATCATTAAATGGATTATTTTCCATCGGGCATTCTCCACTTTTAGAGTTCTTCCGTCTTCTTTTATGCCTTTGGCTACGAGCGCTGGAGGCCTTCCCGCTGTTCTGGGACGAGCAGTCATTATCGGTGGTACCGCTGAAATTTGCAAACGGGTTTAGATCCTTTGGATAGTGGCGCATCTCGTTTTCCTTCTTCTTAACACTTGTGGTATCACTCTTTTCCCCAGGCTGCTTCATATTCGGTGGAGGGGGGCGAGGTGGAGCCGCCTTACGAGTTGGTGGTTGACGCGGTGGAGGTATCGGAGGAGAAGGACGGGCTGAAACAGGACGAGGTAAACCAGATTGGGATGGACTAGTGTGAGAAACGGAAGGCCTCTCAGAGAGAGGCAGTGGTGGAGATGGAGCTTTCCTTTTGACCTTTGTTGGTCCTGATCTTGTTTTGTTGCGGCCTCGACACGAAACCGCCTGAGAACTATTACCCTTAGTGTCAGCACCAGCTTTCGCTTCCTTCTTTTTCTCATGGTTACCAACGACGCCTGACAATGGAGCAGGTGGAGCAGCATTGACCTTTGTGGTGGCCACGTTCGAACAGGAAGCAGCACTGGTAACATCGTCATCGCGCTTTTCCTTTCGGAAACTCTTTAAGGATCTTGGACGCGACAGTCTCCTGCTTTCTTCCCTGATGGTATCTTTCTTGTCTGGGAGACTGCAAGATAATTACAAGGGTACAGTGAATTCAAGTAATCAAAACGTTCCCTTAATACTCTAAAAGAGCAAGAAATAACACTTGAACCAGTTATCGTTCCTAAAATACCACTTGGCCTTTTTAATTTCCCTTTTTTATTTTTACAAGGAGCTATAAAATTATAATTGCCAAATTCACCAAAGACCAGGCGTAGAAGTGTGAGTTTTGGGTGTTCCTGTTTGGAATTGCAATTTTCCCATCCGTCCTGCTTTGGTAACCTTTCTTATATTCATGCGTGACGTGCATGATCTGATCAACACTGTGGTTGACGTGTACATTTGTTTAATTTTTCTTTAACTCTTGATTATCAAAACTTTTTCGATTGCTTATTTTCAAGACTGTCAAAAGACTTTTGAAGGCTTTTTTTACAGCCAAATGTATTTACAAGTTTATTCAAATTGATAAGTTGAATTTATTTTTATTTACGGACTTTGGAGTCTAGCCTCTATCGGAACAGCGAGCGTTCAGGTAACTAGCTACAATAGACTTCGGTCAAAATGTTTCGACTCAAACATACCTAAATGAATAAATGGTGAGAAACCGGAAACTTGCCGTTGTGAACTGCGTTTTCAGAAAGTTGCCGAATCTTTGTAGGGTCTCACTCCTCTTTAGGCGTATCGTTCGTGTGTTTTTAGTTTTTCCAGAGATTTACTTAAGAGGAGTATCTAAAGCGTGGAACCCGTAATAAACGAAGTTTGTCATTATCGTTATAGTTCAATAGTTCGATATTAGGATGTCTATACAAGCTGCTCCATATCCTAGATTCTCGAGGCAAGCTTACCTCAAGAAATTGAGCACCCGAGCAACAAGCCGTTGCCTCTCAACGTACACCAAATGAATGGATATGGAGTAGCTTGTTTAAAGATCCTAGTACCAAAAGACTCTGGATGTGTGTTAACGGATCTCGAGTTAGTTATACTTGCTGGAACGATATGGAAACTAACAATTCAAGCGGGAAGGAGGATTGTGGACACGTCATGTCCATTGAGAGGCGAAGAAGATGGAATGACTGACCTTGTGCAACTCTATCTTTGTGAAATGCACGGTAAGCCTGAGGAGGCAGTGGTAGGTGCTCGCGCTGTCAGCTTACAGAGGTTTAACCTAGGAGTTTTCAAGTTCATTGCTGATCATTCATTTGCTTTTGCTCACTGTCAAGTGGATGCAACTGCCCCAGGCTCCCGGTGCACAAAGAAATGTTCATCAGGCGACCGAAGTAAATGTACAGTTGTTGATGACGTGCACGGGCCCTATCATTCTCTCACTCGGCTGGCAAGACAAAAAGCGCGACTGCTCTGATTCTTGTATGTATACTACCTTTAGTATGTTACGCACGCGAGGAAGTAATAGACCCGTTCTCAGGGTCCTTTTTCGCCTCTCTCGAGAGGAAGAAGAATGGTTGGGAAAGAGGATGTAGACTCAATAGCTAGCGCTGCTTGGGAAACTAGCCTGTCCCCTTCTCCTTACTGTAAGTTGTAGATGTTACTCACTATTCGGTGAGGGGGACGGGGGTCAGAGTATCCAGCTTCCCGTACCACGTTCTCCCGCCTCCCGTACTTTTGTAAGTTGCAGATGTTATTCACTTTTCGTTGAGGGGTGACAGGAGGGTCAGAGTCTCCCGCTTCCTGTGCCACGTTCTCCCGCCTCCCATACTTTTGTGTCCCTTTGCCTCCCGACTCCCACCCTTGATTGTGTTACTCCCGTCTTCTGGCTAATCAATCACTAACTTTCAAACTTTGCAAAAACCTAACATTCTTGTTCATCTTCTGGCCTTTGTTTTGGCGGGAGGATCATCGGACCGATGAAAGTTATTACAGGTCAGTTTTCTTAATTAAAGTAAGTTTAACCTGGTTATCACAGTTTGACCATCGCTTCTGACATCTCGTTATAGAGACGAAAGTCTCAGTCCTCTGTGTGATGTAATAGCTATTGCAATTTAATATAGGCATTTAGGATTGTAATTTCAAAATCAAATAAAAATTCAAGACCCAAACGTAACGTTTAGAGTTTGCTCTCCTGCATCCGTGCTTGCTTTCCCTTTTTGACGTAAGTAACTTGTCGTAACTAGTCGTGAACAAATAAAAAAGCTGACTTCAAAGGATGATTTAAATCACTGCACATCGATTATTGAACCGTTTGCATTTGAGTGTTCAGTTTAAGTGCTAGTGAAGCATGATTGAACATTCGCAGTCGGCTGATTATCAGATTTGCCTGATAGGTTAAAATCTTATTTAAACTTTTGCGGAAAGTTTTAAGTTTGCACCTGAAGGCAAAATCTTCAGTAATTTAGGATGTGCACTCGTACGGGGCGAGCTCCCAAGGTCTTCCATGAACGGATTTTTCGTTGACACACCGAAAAATATGAGGCCGATTAATGTAGTCTTTGACGACATTTGACCTGTATGAACCTGAATCGCTTTCTTTGCTGGAGATTTTCGACAGCTAAAACTTACTGGACGTGCACATGTGTCATGTGTCATGCTATCTCGTAATCGAATTGAAGAGATTTCCAAATTCACCGGAAGTAATGCTGTTTTTCCAGCCCGAGTACAAATTTACGTTTTCTTGCTTCCAAAATTTTCTTTTAAGCACCTGTGTTGTTAAATGGAAATTTGAAAACTTTGCTAGGTAAGTTTTTTTGATTGAATAATATCCAGTAATAACCAACAAACTATTGCCGCCTTTATCTCTGCTCCTGCTTCCCGCCCTCTCCCGCCTCCTGTTCTCCTGGGCTCCTGCCCCCGTCCCCCCTCCACGTTTCGGTGACGGTGGCAAATTAACAACCAGGCGATTTTAATACCATGATTACACAGTTACGCAACTTTTTTTTTTTTTTACCGTTTATGTTTATGACTTTCCTTCTTTTTTTAAAATCTTGCACAACAGTTCTAACCTGTGAAGTGGGGTGAAAGCTCTGAGTGGATAGTGGCCTGTGTATCGTATGGTACCATACATATCCTGATTATCACATTACTTGTTATCAAAATTGATTGTTATATTTGATGTCAAAACCATTATTTCTTTGGTTTGTTTCTTTAACACTTTCATTTCAATCTTAACTGGCTAAGGTAATTTTAAAACGGGACGATAGTCATCTTGTAAAACATAATCAACCCGGCTCATCTAATAGTTCCCACATATCTCTCTCATTAGGTTGTAGTACTACATTTGGGGCGAGTTTTCTGGCCCAATCACTGAGGATGGTGAGGTAAAACTGTCGTAATCACGGATCACTTTAATTTCGACACTCAATCGAAATGGCCTCATGAACACAATAATAATCATCACATACTTTACAACAACAAAGTTTATTAATACTTAACTCACAGGTTTTTCTTTTCATACTTTGAAGCCACTGCATAATTATCTCCAAACCAACATTCATAGAAGAACATTGAAAAACAATATGATAAGTAGCCAGGAAATAATTACAGATTTTTTTCATACTTTGAAGCCGCTGCAAAATGATCTCAGTTGTAATGTCCATACAAAAGTACTACAAATTAAAAGAAACCATCCAATAACAACAGGAAGTTATGAGCATAAACTTTTAACTGTTTTTTTTATTTCAGAGCCACTGCATAATGACCTCAATACCAATGTCAGTACAAGAGTCTTACATATAAAATGTTATGCAACAAGGAAAAAAACTTCATGTGTGGTTGACAAAAAAGACTTCAACTGCACCAAGAAAGAGTTTCAAGCTTAAATTAATGAGAAGGACTGACATGTCACAGATTTGAAAGGTCAAGTTGAATCGATTATGTAATTTAATTTCTGTGAGGTTAAGTTCTAAATATATATCGAAGTCACTCTGATTGTCTCTCAGTCTCCATTACAATGTGTTCCCCCAACATCAGCACTGATACTGATTCACTTATAAACCAAACTGCCACATGTGCACATGTTATCACTTAGCATGACTGTTGACATTTGCTTTGCTTTACCTCAAAAAAATCTTCTTCATTTTTAGGCAAGTTATATTGACAAGAGAGTATTAGGTCTTTTACCTGTGAGTTACTATTGGAATAGTTGATCTTTTGGAAATAAGAAAAATAATTTGGAATGTGTTACTTTAACAGTGGCTTCATGAATATCGCAGGAAAAGTGTTTTTGTACAGATGATACACTTCACAAACCATAAGTTATGGTTTACAATTAAGACAGGAGATCTGTTTTATCAAAACTATTTAAAGTACATCATTTCAAAATAAGGAAAAGGATTTGGAATGTGCTGTTATTACAACTTACAGTGGTTTCATAAAAACTGCAGGAAGAAATTAATTCTTAAAAATTAAAATCCCGTTAAAGATTGCAACAAGAATGCACCATGACCTGTTTACAAAACATATTTTGGCCTATTTACAAAGGATTATTTACAATGGTGAGAGGAAATGTTTCATCAAAAGAATTTTTCTTTCTGAATATAGAGCACTCAATATTATATATAATTGTTAGAAAAATCATACTTAAGATACTTTTATAAATGAACTTATTAAAGAACAATTTGTTTGAAAATAGAGCAGCAGCATGTTCTTACTATTGGCAATTCTTGCCGCAATTTTTTCACAAGAATCTAAAACACAAATGACCAATATTCAAAAATAGTAGACAGATTTTCATTCATTCTGAAATGCAAAAAGAAAAATAAACCAAGATAAGAACATCTGCACCACTTCATATGACAGAATTATTGACAGTATGTTTTATTGCTAGATTGTAGTAATCAAAAACACTGAAAATTAAATTAGCTATAAGCCTTGAATTTCAGCTAATTAAGATATAATATTGACTGCAATAATATGAAGTGTTAGAGCCACAATTAATAACTTGCATTTCAAATTAGTTAAGATTACTGTTTCTTACCGTTATTTAGGCATGAAGGCTTTGCTGGCGAATTGCAGCAATGAGTCCAGCAACTCTTTTTTCATGAGCTTTGTTCTCATCTGTTTTCCTCCACCCTAAAATCAAAATACAAAACATTGTTTCCTTCATCTACATTTTGGCTTATGCCTTCGGCCCTGAAGAGTGAATAGCATCTAATTTCTCTTTAGAATATCACAAGGATAAAGGAAATGATCACTATGTAAAGAAACTCAAGGTTGTTAAACAAATTCACCTGTCAGCACCTTAGGAAATGTAAAGACAACACTTTGGAGTATTTATATTTATTGTTTTTTTAGAGGGAACGGTAACTAATCTTGCAATCTGATTGGTTCTTTACCCGGTCAGTATTTTCGTATCTCTGCCCACGGGCCACGGTAACGCTTTCGTGAGTCGCCGAGTACATCCCAACTTTCGTTGTCATTTTTCATAAATATACCTCGTTTTCCGGCTGGGCAGTATTTTTAAGCAAACACGTCGGTCACTACCTCAAGCCGATAAATAACTTATGAATCCTCCCTTTTCTCTCTATCAAATCACTTTGGTTGACAGAAAAATATTGGTTTCAGAATGAATTTGTATAAACAATAGTGTCATTACGTTGGTTGACAAGCGGCCTAAAAACCGTCTGCAATTAATTTTAATCGTTCACAAGAAGTACCCAGAAAGTTGAAACGTGAGGTATTTGGTTACAGTTAAACTGAACGATGGAACTTTCATTCATTTAATATCTGAATTTTCTCGAGCAATTTGTTCATAGTAAAAAAAAAAGCGAGCGAAGTTTTAATTTAAGTTCTACAACAAATATACGCTCCTGGATAGTCTTTCCAATTCCGTTCAATTTGGGCATTTGTACCTTAAATTGCACAACAGAAATTGAAGGAATTGAGAAAAGGCTGCATTAAATTCCCTTGTGTCTCGTTGGAGGCTGCCGTTCGAATTTAGTTTTTGTGAAGGAAAGATCCGAGTTAAACACGCCATTACAGCAAACAAACGAGCAAACTCCCACAACTTCAAAATAATAAATTGAATTTACTCACAATTACTTTCCTCGCCGTTTACTTAATGAACATAGGTAAATCTTCGTACATGAATGAATGGTCGATGAGAGTAAATAATACTTTCCGTTAGATCATTAACTGATTTTTAAGAAAACATTGTCATGACAGTCGTTGCCAAACTGGTTCTGCTGGTTTTCAAATGTTCCTACGATTTTTTTTGCACGCTCTCTAATTGACAGGTGTCAGATTGTGACAGATACTTGTAAAAATAATGTTTCAAAGTTTGTTTGGAAGCCTTTTAAATCACTTTTATCGTTACGGAAATGAAAATGTTTCGCTGAGGCATCTCTCTTAAATTTGCATCACCTCTATTTTAACTACCATTTACTCACTCAAAAATTGTTCAGTTTATGGAAGATCTTGCCGTATTTACGGCCATAAGCCATTCGGGTTCTTTCGGAAAGAATTTCGTCAAGTTTAAAAACAATAAATATGTTATTTACCGGCTAAGGGTCGGTCCGTATGGTGAAAAACTGTGACCTCGGTCTTGAAAATGCTGCCCTCGGCCTACGGCCTCGGGCAGTATTTTCAAGACCTCGGTCAAAGTTTTTCACCATACGGACCTCCCAGCCGGCAAATAACATATATATATACAGAATGATGTTAGGGTGTAAAGGGTTAAGAATCAAGGCTCAGTGAACCAGTCCCAATAACACTAAACTGAGAAAAAGGAGGAGAAACAACTGAATACTTACCTTCCACTTCTGAAAGGCGTCTCAAATCTGAACACAGCAAGTTAAGACAATTTTCAATTTTTTTTCCTTTGTCACTATATTGGTAAAGGGAAAACAGAAAATCAAGCAAATCTGCCTCAAGCTAAATACAACCTTTAGTTAAGCAGAACCACTAGAGTCTCTGAAAAACCCAAATAAATAACAAGGACAAACAATGGAACTTCTCGATCTGTAAATCAAACATTATTCAATCCATTGCTCACAGTTTTTATTATTAACAAAAATAGTATAAAATAAAAATGAATCCAGAGGAACTAATTAAGCAATATATGATAGATAGATCAGTTATCCATATCAAAGACAATTGGTAAACATATATAGGCACCTGAGCAGAGTTATTGGATCATAGATTACAATGTAAGACTACATTTTAGGTCATAATGAACATGTTTATTTCGTTTCTAAAATAAGTCTTCATTACTTACAGGGCAAGAAGGTCATCTTTTCTGTTCATCACTTTGGAATGGAAGCTATCCAATATAAGCCAGCCTTGGTTTAAGCTTTCAAACTCTTCTTTGTGGTCTACAGACAAAAAATAAACAAATACATTGTATAAGCTGTGTAAGTTAAGCATGGCTTATAACATCTGAAATAAGTGTAAAAACTTGCAGTATCTCTAGTTTGGGGATTAGCTGTTTTTTAATATTTTTAATGCTTTCACTCCTAAGAATGATCAAGACAGAATTTATCCTTACAATATCAAAACAATAGCATTAGTCCATTCAATACCAATTTTACTGATCTAATATCATAAGAATTGTACCGCAGACAGTAAAGAGAATTACCAATAAGATCCTGGAGTTAAAGATTTATAACTCATTAGTGGGGAAAAGAACTTAACATAAGTTTTTTTGAAATTCCAAGGTATTTCACTTTATCATTTTGGAAATGGATCATCCACCTGATGACATAGCTCTCTGCATTTCAAGTTTTACTTTTGAGCGGACTTCTTCCGAAGATAATAATTCATCTTGAACAAGCTTCAGTTCCTCTTCAACATAGCTGGCCAACTCTGAGTGAAGCTGGCTTCCACTTGAGGCTGAACAGGTTAAAAGGTTAACATCAATAATCAACAAAAATAGTTGTAATTCAGAATAAAAAAATGTAAAGTTATGATTTTTATTTAGTGCTTATAGCTCAAGGTTCCAAGGAGTCTTACAATAAAACTGTTTGATTGAAAATAAATCAGATCAAACAGGAGAAAAGTATTCAAATTTAAGCCCCTTTCCATTTGGAATGGGAGGCTGGAAATCAAAACAGAACTTACATGAATTTTCATTTCTCTTGGGAATGCACTTCTCTTTTGTTGCAACTTCATCTTCCTTTATGAAAACTGTTTCTCTGTAAACAGTTTCTGAAGACAACACAGACAAGGAGGCCAGTGCTTCTTCATCATGTACAACAAGATGTAATACCTCAGGCTGTTCATCAATTTGAAACCTGACAGTTTTATGAAGGTTCCTTTCACTTTGCACCTCTTTTTTTCTCTTTCACTCTCTAATGGCAGACCCTGGCTAGCAGGTGGGTGTGTTTGGGGTGAAACAGGGTTAAGATGTGCATGATGAGGTGAAGACTGCCTCCCGACCTTTCCTGACCCCACTTTGGTATTGCTGCCAGATGAGGGATCCACCTGAGGTTCAGCATTTGGGAAGATGCCACCTTGTTGTTCAATAGTTTCTTTATCTTCCCCAGCAACAGCAATTTTTGTACCACTTGAGCAGCCAACTTTATTGCTTTTATCTTTCTTTTTGTCTTCTTCAGTTGCAATGTCTGTATCACTTGAGCAGCCACATTTCCTGTGCCTTCTTTTTTTCAAAGATTTTTGTTTTGCTGTCTTTCCCTCAGCTTTTCTTCTTGCTTGTTCCTCCCTGACCTCCTGCATTATCTCTTCCCATATCTCTTCATCTGTGGGACTGTAAAGGTAATGCAAAAGAGTTAATGGAATTTCACAATACAATTACTTTTAGACAAAACAAATAATAACTGCATGAATAAAAACCATTGAGCAACTAAACTTTAGATTTTAGTTGACCCTTGTGATTATGCAGCAAAATGATAATATCTCACTTTGAAAGTTTATTGATCAAGTTCATGATCAAGTAACTAACTTTTAAATGCCAAACATAAGGTGGATGATCACTACAATAACTAGCTATGGAAATTACGGAAGAATACTCACTGAACAACTCTGTCATCTTCCTGGATAATCCATGATAATTCAAACTCAATTTTACCAGAAACAACTTTCTTGATTGCTGGCTTAAGAGTGACAGTAACTTCCACTTTTCTAGGCATCTCTGTAATGTAATTACTGATATCAATACAGCCAGTGGCCAGAAGCTGGTGACAACCACTGGGGGACACCTAATGATTTCAAAGAAGCAAGAGGAAGATGAAAAGTGTTCAGATTTACTCCAAACTGCCTGGAGTGAAAATAATATCAAAGAGTGACTACATGCTTGCATAATATTGAAAAGGAAAAGCTTACATTACAGATGAAAATATTCCACTGCTTTTCTAGATATTCTGTCATTTCATCCTCTGAGTTCTACAAATACAAATAAATATTGTTTTAAAATAAAGAAACAAACTTGATAACAACAATATTAGGGACCTTGAACAAACCACAAGAACAATGGAATCGAAGATGTGACAAAACAAAAGACCAAATGAGCAGAACAATAGCTAAGCACTAGCATTTAGAACTTTTTTCATGTTGAAGTCAAATCAAATTTGACGTGGTCTGTGTACAGGAACACTGACAGAAAATTATTTCACTTTCAATATGGAACTCAATGTGGCTCACACACATTATACAGAGGTTGAGATGTGGCACTGTTAGAGACAGTAAAAGCATTCATGCTGCTATTAAGGAAATTCAAAACAAAAAATTTAGATCTATTTTTAATCAATTTGTCTTCCTAGGCATCACTCTCCTGACTGGTTAAGGTCCCTATTAATTTTGCCTGTCCAGTGTCTTTTAACCTCCAGGAAGTGTTATTGTGAAATAAAGTTCATATAATGGCTTTGGCAATATAAATTTAATCATATGTCCTCAAACGTTTCATAAATTCAATAGCGTTTCATAATTTTTTTTTCTCTTCAGTTGCTGTGCTTTGAACTTTTAGAATGAAAGTTATAATAGATTTAACATTAAGATGGACTGTTTTTATTTCAAAATTTCTTAAAACGTAACGCAAATTGAATTGGAGGAAGGAGCAAGCCAAATAAAAAGCAAAGAAGGCTTCAGTAAGTAGGTATAACGTGTTTACGAAAACGATGGTTTCAAAAAAAGAAACTATGACGAAGGCAAGTCTTTTGGACTAAAATTTCGTTTCCAAATACTGTGGCACTTTAAGGAAATCTGTCCTCAAATTTCTACCTCATGTTGCCTTTGTTCAAAACTTACCTTGAGGAGAGTAAGTTTACCAGCTACTGGATCAGGCTCAGGCCAAAAATGAACACCACGATAATCATTTGCAACACCTCCAAACCATGCTAAAGGCTGAGAGAAAAAAAGTATTGCAAGAAATATTTCTTTAACTCAAACTGACGATTAAGACATCAATAACGTTTAATGAGCTAAGAGAGAAAGAACAGAGATCCAAAGTCTACACTGACTACCTTTGTACTGTATTTCGCTTTCCTTTTTTTCCAAAAAACTGCAAGCTTGTGGGGATACCTAGTTGAAGAACAAAACAAGAATGTCTGCATAATGTGAGAAAGTTGCCATAGTTAGCCATATTTCTGTTCAGTGCGGATTCTATCCCTATATAAACGATTGACGTTTTATGATTCAAGGTCTGAGATGCACTTACATCTTTTGTCATTTTGGAATATGACAAAAGGCAAAGAAGTACATCATAGCTTCAAGGCGGCCGCCATGATGTCTTAATGCCAAGACTGGTAACTAGTAAAACTTACCCCTCCCTCCCCCCTTGCTGTTAATGATTGACCGTTATCAAAAACTTTCTCTCGCAGCACCGCCGTGAAAAATACCAATTAGCTAAGTATTTGTTTTTTACCGAGTCTTGCAACTTCAAAGGGCAAACAATATTCAGTTTGGGGAAAGACCCTTTGTTTCTGTTGCTTAAGTCTCACGCGGAATTCAACAGTGAAATCGAACTCAGCCAAATTCTAAAACGCATATTTTTTCCTCAATTCAATTAATCCTAGTGAAATTCATATTGTTTTCGAAATTGTACGCTTCGTCAGAGTTTAACTTTTGATCATTTTCTAATCAGAAAAGTAAAAAAAAGTCTGACTCTAGTGAGACAAGTAGCTTCGAAGGCTAAACTCTTAATAGAAAAGAGAGAAAGAAAATACTTTATCTTGTCCCTTACCACCTTTTCTTGCGTAATTCGACATTCAATAGCGAAACAGATGCTGTGATTAAAAAATTATCAGCTCTTGCTTTTTTCCGACGGAACGGTATGAGAACACAAGCCATTGCTGCTTCTCACAAAATCTCTCAGATGAACTCCAAGGATTTCTGCATCGTTCATTGTGATGTCATGTTACCATGAAAATAATTGCTTCCAATGCATGTTGTGCGCGCTCAGTGCACTGCACTGACTGAGGCCGGTTGGAATAACTTGAAATTTCTCCATAACAGTTGAAGTAGAAGTAGCTAAATGAGGAAAATAGTTGCATTGGAAAACAAAATGTCCGCCTCTCTACATTTCTTCACTGGTGTACCTGTTTGTCTCCATTATGGCTTTAAAGTCGATTCATAACGATTTAGGTAATTGTATTTTTTGTGTTTTCTGCCTATTTATTTCTAAAGGAAATATTTAACAGTCAGCTGATACAAGGCTGGCACTTTGGTTGAAAAAAGGCGTGCATTTGTACCCTCTCTCTTTACAGAAATACGTAAACTATGACTTTACCTTAGATCTATCTACCTTCACCTTAGAAATAAAACGTAATTAAAATAAAAGATAACAGGGTCGTAATGAAAAGAAATCTGGTTAGATATTTTGTCCGTGAGAGTAATAATAATAATAATAGTAATGATTATGAGAATAAAGATAATAGAAGAAAACGTAATGGGGAGACGCGGGGTTTATTTTAAATGGAGATCGTCTCAAAAATTTTGTAAAGTTGACGGTTTTAAAACGTCAAAATTAAAGTTACACCCAAACCACAAATTTACGCCCGGTTAATGTAAGTCACTACTATGTATCTTGGGCAAATTCCAAGGTAATTGAACAGTTTTTATCTTACGTAAATGTTTCCGCATTCTGCACCATCAACCTCTTTGGTTTTTTAATATACCCAGAATCGGTGGCATGGTAACACCACGCCCCACCCCCCCTCATCCTCCGCCCCGAGGCTTGTGGTTTCGTGGCGCTTCTGACATGTTTCGTTGACTATGTACGAAGGTTCGAGCGAACAAAGCTGCAATAAATGTCCGCCGGGCACACAACAATGGCAGAGAGATTAAAGAGCGTGGTGGGGCTCTGTTATAAAATGTGGTTATTCCTATTTGGCTCAGGCTTAATAAGATTTTTTTTGAGTAATAAAAAGTCTAGTTCTTTGCCATGTAAACCGTTTGGCTTATTTAATTATCGCTGACCGTTTCAACTGAGTTCTTGTCGATCTGAGCTGGGCCAGTTGACCTTATGAACCGGTCACAACTGGAAAAAAATGGCTACAATTCTCATCAAAACCGTAAAAACAAGGTCATGAATCGTTCAAATCTGAAATGCCTATGAGGGTAACAATCCGAACCGAGGTGAGGGTATGGTGACTAATGGGAATAATGAAACATAAGAAATTGCTTTTTTATTGGCAAATCAACAGCAAAAAAAGTGAGAAGATGGACTTTGTAAAAGACTTGAGAAAAGTCGTGTTTCTTTTTCATTTAAATTTATTTACAATTATAATTATTATTACAAATCAAAGTATAATAAGGAAATAGCGAAAAAAAATCGTAATGAAAAATAGGCAACTCAATATGTTCAATCAAAAATGATCTCATGTCAATTTGAAAGAAAAAAACTGAAGCGATTACGTTACTCCTTTCCCTGGTGAAGTAATGGCGTGACGTTATACTCAATGAGTCCCAGTGTCCTTGTCTTAGCATTCGGTTAATCATCAGCACTGATATGGATTGATCGCAAAGAAAAATGACGCATGCAGCCAGAAAAGCACCCAATATAACCAACAGCGTTCGAATCGCTGTTAATACAGGTGGTGGAAAAGGGTAATGTTATTCAAAAAGAAAAAAAGGAAGAAAAAACGAAAGAAAGAAGGAAAAGGAAACAAAAACAACCCAAAATAATAAAAGAGGAGGAAAAAAGGTGAGGATGAGAAAATTGCAAAAAAAGATTCCAAACCCAAAGTACAAAATACCTAAAAAAACCTAAGTTAAAATTGAAAATTCGGGTTAACTTAAAAATGATAAAAGTACCCAGAAATATATAACCTACCCACCTAAAATAAAAAAAAAGCGGAAAAAAAAAACAGAAAAAGAAAAGAGAAGTACGAACAAAAAAAAGTGTGCAGTGCCAAAGGTGAAGTATTCAGTTACGTGCAGTGATCTTGTAACCGCTTACGTCACTTTCATTACAAATGATTCTTTATCTGCGCATCTGATTGGATGAAAACAAAGCCATTGAATTGAAATACGTAAACTATGACTTCACCTTAGATCTATCTACCTTCACCTTAGAAATAAAACGTAACCAAAATAAAAGATAACAGGGTCGTAATGAAAAGAAATCTGGTTAGATCTTTTGTCCGTGGCCCTGAACCTAAGATATTACATTCACAAAAGAGGTGTTTATACTCATGAAATAGTTCTAAGCAATTTAAAAAAAGACGAGGAAAGATAAAGATCTTTATCTTTTCTCGTCTTTTTTAAATTGCCAAGAACTATAAGATAGTTACTTACGTTAAAAAATGACAATTTTTACAACAGTAGAAATTATTTGAATTCATAGTAGTTATTCATAGTAATCACATGAAAATTTGTTTGACAAATAAAGTAATCTCATGATTCAAGGATAACATCTGAATGATTCTCTGAGAGAAAGAATTTTACATTGAAAAATGAAACTGCTCAGAATTTATAGATTTACAAAGGATTTTTAGCAAGAGATTATAATCTCTTGTTCTTAGGCATATACAAACATCAGTACTATACAAGCCAGACCAGAAATAAGGAAAAAGTTGTGAAATCGAAACTGCAAAAGGAAGGAAAGTAGAAACAGAATTAGCCTTGTTATTTATAATGAAGTCTGTTAAAACCAACATAATCCAAATGATCCGTGGCAAACTCATTATAGAATGTAAAGGAAGATTACAAGAAGAGAACCAAAGGCATTTCAACTCAATTAAAATGCAAGTTTCTTACTTTTAATGCAGTTTGTTATTCAGGCCATGTTGGTCAACTTGAGGATAAGATCCAGGACATTCTTTTCCCGATCTTTGTGTTCTTTGGTTTTCTTCCAACCTGCCGCAGAAAACGTTATAAAACATCACTCACCATACGATAGCAAAAAAATAAAAGATTGCATAAAAAAAACCCAGGTGTTGGTAACAGAACACTTGTTTAACATCATACAAAAAAAAAATTTAGCATTATCACATTGAAGAAATAACGAAACTGATTCTCACCTTTGACTTCAAACAGGTATTTAAGGTCCTGACGTAAGAACTTCAAACACTCTTTCCGGTTTTGTTGTCTGGAACTAAAAACAACAGAGACGAAAGATAAGGCTTTAATACGATAAACTTTCAAATGGAAATACAATCCAAGGAATTAAAATGCTTAATAAAAAAAGGAGTGCTTATATGTGGTTAATTTAAATCATTCGTTCTGGTTATTGAATATGTATTACCATAATTTGACATATTGACTTGTTCCCAACTATCGAGCAAGGCTTAAAGTTCATCAACAATCAATAAAGGGGTAAGTTTCTAAAGAAACTGTGGTGCTGCGTCGGTGGGAGAGTATAGCAGGTAATTTAGTGTTAACAACTGGGTTGAAAACGTAAATTAGCCACCGTAAAGGGTAAAAAAGCTGACGTTTCGAGCGTTAGCCCTTCGTCAGAGCGATTAAAAGGTTTAAAACAGCTTTATAAGGATAAGATGTACTTACAGAGTGAGAAGGTCTTGCTTCCTTTCGTCAAGTTCAGAACGTAACTTATTTAGCGCTAACCAGTCAAGTGATAAGCTTTCAAACTCGGCCTCACAATCTAAAAAAAGGGGAAATTAAAGAAGGCTGCATTTAATTTGTGTTTAGTTAGTTACATGCATCACCCTCTATTTGGCGCGACAGTATACCCGGATAATTGTTTCCAGACTTTACCTCTTCCTAGAAGAGAAACTGTTTTTCTTTAGCGTTGCGTGAGAGAAACCAAGCACTTTGAACCCCGAAAGATTCCTCTCAACTAACAGGATAGTTCGGCTGTTATTTGACGAAGGTGAACAGTTGGAAAGGTTCGAAGCTAGGGATTAAGGATAGTGGCATTCGAAAAGCACTGTTCTGCACGTTTGTAGCAAATATGTTAGTTTTTATATATTGACTCATGCAAAGGTAAAAATAGAAAACTAACCTTCAGTGTCTATTACTTTTTCATCTCCAGTTCCAATTTAACCATCACCTTGTGCAATGAAAGCAACTCTTGTTCGACAACCTGAATCTCTGTCTCCACAGAAATAGCCAACTCAGGGAACTGATTGCTTACGATGGCAGCTAAAGAAGATATCAGAAAATACACGTGCTTAAATAATGAAAAGGGCAGGCGAATGTATACACATTCTGTCTAAGTTGATATTGAAGCAATTAAATCTATTTGGTTAAGAGCAATCAAAATACAAGCAACAGTCAAGAATAAAGGTTTACTTGGGCGCAGATGGGAATGTTTCTAATGACCCTCTTCGCCGGTTCGGTGGATAAAGACGCACTGTTTTCCAATACTTTCCGCTCATTAGGATCTATTCTGTGGTATGCTTACAGAACAACTTACCACAGCTGTCTCCACCCTGGCACTCTTCCATAGCAATTACTTCCTCGGAAGGTTGTACTTGCTTGATAATTGATCTCTCGCCCACATTTGAACAATCTTTAGCAGTCGAAGCATCAAGGTTTGTTGATCCGATACTTGCAGGAAAATTATCCTTCTTTGTGGAAGGGAGATCATCAGGAGAGACCTCCTTATCAGATGCTAAGGACTGGGTCTTTGAGTCACCAGAAGCTTCTCGGTCAACCTGTTCGTCTTTTTCATTGCTGGCAGCCAAGCCTTGTAATGCAGTCTTTACATTTATCTCTTCTACTGTAGCTGTGTTCACCACAAACTGAATATCTTCCAATGAAGAAACAGACCACATGTCAGAAGTATCGGTCGACTGCAAGATTGACGAACTATTTTCCTCATCGGTATCATTGGATGGATTGTGTTCCATTTTGTATTTTTCACCATTCCATTCTTTCCGTTTTGT